CCACCCATGGGAACAAATGGAAAACTTGTGGTGTCGTTGAGCTTAGGAGAGTAAACGACACATTTTCTACGTATATTGGCAGTCTCCGTCATACCGCATACTGCTACGGCGGTGTAGACGTGCATTGGAGCCTCATTCCCCTCGTCACCGCTTACTTTGGGGCGGGCTTACATGGCAGACAATTTATCAGCTCAGCTGAGCTGCGCCGTCGCTTCGGGCCGGACTCTCTCTGGTCTTTCCAACATCACCATTTCACGGTTCTTCACAAATCACTCTACTACTCCAAATCTTATCCACACGCGACTGCTGGCTATTACCATAGAGACCGCTGCGAAAGCTTAGTAGATTCAGCAACACTCGAGAGATGTACCGTAGGAAGTCTTACGCTAGGTCGGAAAGCAACGCTCAGACTCGACACATGCCTTTCGCAGCTGTCAGTCCACTGCAATTACCTTTCCCCGGATCCCCTTACCTGCGCTGCCGGACAAGTCACAGTTGGACTGCTTATCTCGACTTCATGCTTTCTCTTATCCACAAATCAGAACATCAGACAATTGACAGGAATTGCCCCGACTCGATCTCACCCCAATGTCTCCCTGACATGCTTCTACGCTCCCTCATTACACGTCGTCTCACCGCTCAACTTGACCTCACCTCAACACCACCCATCCAAGACACCTCGCAACCTGCATCACGGATCGTGGCCTCTCTCCTGACGACCGAACACCCCTGCCGTATGGAGCCTTGCCCTCCTCTTGTCCCAATACAGCCTCGCTTCTGGTCCCAACTGCCGCCCGTTGGGCCAACTCATCTCACCCACACCATTCTCAGCCTGCATCCACACACGCACACACACACACACACACACACACACATTCACTCACACACCTCTGCTGTCATGTCCACCGCTCCAATCTTCCGCCGACCTTGATTTTCGCCCTTATAGTTGTCTGGGGGAAGCTTCCGTGGCCCCGCCGCGGCGAGGGCTAAGTTACAAAACCTGCGCGACGCTTAAGCGCTTAGCCTGACTGAGCTCAAGCTGTATGATCCGGCCCTCGCGGAAAGTGTCGTCCGTGATCCGGAATTAAGGACCCAGAAAGACTTATGGTAGGCATCGAAAGACTGCCATTGTCTACACTACCAGGACACTTCAAGCAGGTACAAAATTTGGATACACACGTAAACACTGCTTCAATCGGAATCCGCTCTACTCTCATCTCTCGCTTTGGCCTTTTTTGCGCTCGCCCATCTTCTAGCAGGCCCCAGTCCCTCACGATGATGATTGACTTACAAAAGACTCGCTTTTCAGAGCAGCAGCCGGTAGCGGGACGTAGCGTAAGCCACCACGCATGGCAGCATTTGGGCAGCCCGGGGTCTAGGAGATCGACTCGCTCTCGGTCCTCAACGGGAAAAATGCTCGTTTTGGCCGGTATGGCCGTCCAACCTTGCAGCTCTCAATGCGCCGCTACCATGTGTCAGGCCCACGCTTCGGTGAGCGTACCGGCGCCGTTCTATGCCAGTCATGAGGGAAGGAAAACGCACAGACATCTCTGGATGGCCCATACCACGCTGGAATTGACGGCGCATGCGACTGGACGTCAACCTACACATGACGGTAGCATTCTCTACATCATCATTCCCAGAACTGGTCCTCCAAGGCGTTGCACGCAAGCTGAAGGAAGCTGGCCGACTGTCTTACACATGCGCTGGCTGAACCGCAGCGAGCAAAAGGAAACAGCCGGCTGCCCCCTCCAACTCGTGCTTCCGTGCGCCAGCTGCATATTATTATCTGGGGTTTTCCAAAGGACCACTCATTTGCTGGTTCGTCTCGTCTGCCCACCCCCCTACCGCTGTAACTTGTAACTTGTGATGAGTTGCGCTGCACCTCGCATCAAGTAGCCCGACATGCTCCGTGCTTTCTGCCGTGTAACAACGGCACAGGATGTCACTACAGTATAGCTCATCTTCTTCGAGCCTTTCTCAATATTGGTCACTTCCGAAGGCTGAAGGAACGCGCTAACTTTCACCACCTTTTCGAGAAGAAGCGAGGGTTCCAACGACGGTCACACAACTACCGGGCCAGAGCAGCATGCGCATTTTCTGAAAGTCGCAGTCTTACGCTCTGAGAAACAAGTGGTTTTCTATTCTTTAGTGCCAATAATTGACAGCGGAAAGTCTCAAAGTAATCGATGTTTTCGCAGCCTCCAACAAGCACGGCGGCACGGTCACAACGACACCCTGGAAATACCAAGACAAACCGGCCCTCAATTAGCCGCGCCGGTCCGAAATGCCTCCATCGTCCGCACTCCCGAGGTCCACATCGGACCATCAAGGCATCTTTCATCTCATCTTTTCCATTTGTGTCTATTAAAACCGGCCAAGAGACACCTACAATTGACCACCAGCCGGGGGCTAGAAATGGTCTCCACCAAAGCCAACACACGATGGGGAGGATAATACCCAATGCTCAGTAGAAAGTCTTCGGCGTATGTTCACCGAGCATGTCCACACCAGAGATTGTTTTCTGCTTCATTTCCGGTGACCGGAACGTTGGTTGAAATAAGTCTAGCAAGGGTCTCATCATCCGCCGTTGCAAAAGATAAGGATTCACAATCCCAGCGAGCTGGCTGGGTTCATGGGCCTCGATTTATCCGGCCACTCTTTTCTCTTGGGATTGATCACAAGGAGAAAGTTCGGACCATTGATCATGCTCACTGAAGTTCCCAGACGGCCGAGCATTCGTGTTCTGCCAGCATCCAAACATCAACCGTGGATACTGATTTTTGGCTGATGTTGCTGGCTAGGTACTTCAGTATGCTGTCATGGCGATCCCATGGGCCATTACACTCTGACTGCCAGGCATAGTCTTAATTTCTCCCGTCACCATCACATGGTAGCATGGGGTAAAGATACTGCGCGGCCTCACCCGCCCGCTGAGCGCGCTGTCATCTTTAATGCCTGTACTCTGTACTCCGTATCACACAATACGACGGCAACTTTCGCAGGAGAATGCTGTGGGTTGGGCCACGCTCATCCTTTTTCTTCGCGAAAAACTCCATACAGATACCCCAGAGACGCAGAGACGGCCTCCGCCCCCTCCACCCTCCCTTACCGCTGTGCCGTCCCACGACCCCCAACCCCGGACGCAGGAAAGAGGAGGGCTGCTGACCAACAACCCCGGTTCGAAATCTCACACCGAGACGGGAGTCCCCGGAACCGGTCAGCGCTATGGAGGAAGGATGTCATTCCCGCCCGCTCTCCCTTCCTCCCCATGTGACAGTGACATACCATGTCGAGTTGTCGATGAAGGCGTGAAACGGGCGCAAAGCGCCTCGCTATCGACGCCGGGGACAAGGGGAAACGTGATTTTGGGTTTTGACCGTTCGCAATAGTCGCTTCTTCACTGCCCTTCAGAGGCACAGAGGCGCAGACTGGGGGGGGGGGAGGGGGGCAGGATTTCCATCGCATCCCGAGGTCTCTTGCCGGCCGAGGGTTGGTATGTCTGAAGTCGGTCCGACATCATCATGTTGGCTTCCTCTTCCCTCTCGCCTTCGAGATGTAGCAGCCATGCTAGATGATGTCTTCCTCCATGCCTCGGATTCGGCGACATGGCGACAACCCGCCAACCCGGGGACAAGTTATGTGAATCCGTCGTTGTCGTTACTACTAATCACTCCATCCCCCCAAGCCTGGCCCATCCCATCACATCACATCCATCCATCGCCTCTCTCTTGCGAAAGAAAATGGCCGATTCCGTGGAAATACGAGCTATCATAAATCAGGGAACACCAGAAGCGCCAGGAATCGAAGGCGATAGCGGTCGATCGCCCGCTTTTTTTCGTTGAAGAATTCAATGTCTTCCCCTCCCCCTTTCCCCCTTGCCTCTTTTCTTTGACCCTGTCCCTTCTATCCGGATCCTACCGGCTAGTGAGAATTGCCTTTTTGTGGTTGGTACATAGGATTAGGTGAGGTGAGGTAAGGAACGTAAGGAACCTAAGGAATAATTGGAATGAATGGAACGAAGCGTGGCCCAGTTTGCTAGATTTCAGCTGCAAGCCGGGTAGCATGAGAGGGAAGCCGCTCGAGCTGAATAAACTTGATCCCTTCTCTACTCTAGCTATTGGGGGAAGATGGGCCAAGTTATGTGAGATGATTTCCGGTCGGTTCAAACTACATACAGCACCTTGGGAAGTCAGAATATCAAGGCGCTGACTTAGGTTGAGTGTGTTTTTTTTTTTGGACCGCATTGGGGCCACGGCGTTTGTCCGTCCCATTGTTTGCCTCTACGCATTTGCAGACTATGCTGAGCTTCATTGGAACAAACGCGCGATAATAGTAAAAGCAGTCCAGTTGAAAAAGGGGGAAAAGCTAACCTAACTTTGTTGGGAACATTATCAGCGCAACCTCTGCACACACTTTCGCAACAGACTGCGTTCTCATGGTGATGCTCCTTTTTCGTGCTCTTGTAGAGGAAGGGTATATATGTACTTCATAGGTAGCCATCTGGTCCGCTCTAAGCGGACGGGGGGCTCACGTAAAACGCAACTACTCCTATGATATCTCTTTCCTTCTCGTCACGAAAATAACATCATAACTCAAAGTCCTTCCTGGACTCTCTTCTGCCCTCGAGGCTTCGTCGACCTTGAGCCGTTGGTTATGACCCGGAATCATTGAACCTCCCTCATCGCCTCAGAATACTCCTACAATATCCATCACCGGGCCATATACGCTTGCTTCCTCCTGCTCAGTCAATGCTGGCCCCCCCTTTCCCCCTTTCTCCCAAATCATAACGCCTGGTAATGCTGTTGCTTGCTTTGGTATACAAGTTATCGAAATTACACATGCTATGCCGCCACAGTCTGCCGATTAAATCATAATTGTTTATGTCCTTTCAACCTTTCCATAAGAAGAAAAAAAGGGGTATCTCCGTGCTTCATCCCCGGCCGTTAATCCAGTGGTCTTCCTCTTCCGTCAAGTGAAGTAAACCCGGCATGCGTCACTCAATCGGTCGACGAGTCCTCAACCTCCAGCCTCTTAGCTGCGGGTTCGCTGTCCCCGTCACTGTCCTCGACATCGTACTTTTCCTGCCACAGTTTGCGCAGCACCTGGTACAGGAACAAGTACTGCGACTCAGCCTGGACCATGCTGCGGCGCTGCTCGCGGAGGGCATCGACGGTCGCAAAAATAAGGTCGTCGCCCTCGCCGGCACCATCGTAATCGTCAAGCGCGCCCTCGTCGAGCTCGCGCATCAAGTGCTCCAGAGTGATGAAAGTGCCTGTTCGTCCTACACCCGCGCTGCAGTGGATGATGCGCGGGTTCTCCGAGGTCGTGTTGTACTCGCGCGACAGACGCATGAGCGTGAAGAAACTGGACAAGTCGTCGACGGCGGGGACGCCAAAGTCGGGCCATTTGGTGTAGAGTAGGTGCCAGACTATGCGGTCCTCTTCCTCGTCGCCTACGCGCAGCAGGAGCTTGCGCACCTCAATGGCGCCGTTCTCGAGGGACAGGAGAGAGTCAAAGGTCAGCGTAGCGCTCCAGCCATCGCTCCAGCCGTCCATCTCGTTGATGACCCAGGGTTCGTGCTCTTCGTCCATTGGCAGGTAAGGGTAGCATTTCACCTGGTTGTTCTCGTAGAAGCTGGTAAGCTGTACGATGACGACGGGATCTGTGAGTTGCTCCGCAATCATGCGCCAGACAAAGTCTAGGGAGTTCTCTGTCGGACCCTGCATCGCAATGTAGCGCAAGGGAGGGAGCTGCTTATTCGAGGAAGAGAGGGATATCGTCGAGGCGTTGACGTAGTCGAGCTCTTCTGCAGGCACGCGCAGTTTTATGCGGTTGTGGTTCCAGGGCTTGATGTTGAAGTAACGATCTTGCGGGCCTCTGCGCATGTCAACCTGCTTGTAAGAGCCCCATTTCGTGGTCTCGTCAGCATCGGGAGCCATGCCGGCAGCCAGACGGATGCGTTCCTGCCATACTAGCTCCTGGAACTTATTGTCTAAATCTGCAGGGATCCCAGCAGTTAGTTCCCGACCGGCGCCTCCCAGTCTGCGACGAGACGGAGGTTTCGTACCTGGTACGGAAAGGTTCAAGAAGGCCGGTATTCTCGGCTTGGGCCTGAAGCTTTCGTGGCTGCTCTTCCCGGACGAGGCTGAGTCGTCTTTGCTGCCAGCGCCAACACCACCACCACTGCCATCCTTATCTTTTGGCCTCGGGGACGAGGTGATGCCGTCGTGGGAGACGATCGCGGGGGGCGGCGACTGCGGCAGGGAGGCCGGAGGAGGGGATCGTAAGCGCTTGCCGGAGCTGCGCAGGTGCAGACCGCGGAAAGCGGACTTGCGCAGGCCGGGCTTGGTCGGGGTCGGGGACCGGCCGCCAGTGACGGTGACGGTTGTGGAAGGATATATTTGCTGAGGCGGCTGTTGTTCGTCGATGCCGTTTCGGGACGGAGAGGTCTTTACGTCTGTGGTGGAGATTGTCGGGATCTTTGGTTTTCTGCGAAACTTGGGGAGGTGGTCCATTTTGAACCCAGCTACCGTAGTACGAGACGTGGCGAAGGAGCGTCGGGTGAAGCGAAGTGGACGAGTCGGATGGAGCGGTGGGAAAGCGACGAGACGCAAGACAACGAGAAGGGAATACGTTTGCTCAACAGTGAGGCTGACGAGCGTGAAGTTGTGGTTTTGCAGCGGCTGGCTGGGGGCGTGGCGCGAAGGGTTCGGGTTGGTTATGTACTATGGCCGTGAGCCTGTGAGGTAGGCAGGAATGTCGTCAGGGTTTTTTTGGCAGGCAGGGCGCGGGCGAAGGGCGGCACACGGCGGGCACCCTACAGGAAGGTCTTTCTTTTTTTGGAATTCGGGGGCGGCCCAGCAGGTCGGGCAGCTGCAGCAAGTACTCCGTGAGGTACCTTAACGAGCAACAAGCAAGCGGCCCAGCAGCAGCTTTAAGCGCGGGTTGGGGTAAGACGGTCGGAGTATTAACGGGAATTCCGTCCTTCTTGTTGGTTGGCTTGTGTCGTCTAAAAGGGGATGGACGTGTGTGCGTGTGTGTGCGTGTGTGTTTATGCACGTGTGAGAGAGTAATAGTCAGAGAGACTGAGTGAGAGCGTGAGAAAGGGGTGGCTGAAGGATGAAGTTTTGTTGTGAGGAAGAGTCATGCGTTGGGCGTCGTGATAATTAAACAGCAAGTACGGAGTATGGAGCTAAAGAAGAAGAAGAAGAAGAGTGGTCCGTAGTAATAATAAAGTAGTAGTGGTGGGTGGTGGTAAGGAGAGAACGGAACGGAACGAAACTAAAGATGAAAAGTGTCGTTCCTGGCGATCTAAAGTGGTCGCATGGATGGACCTCTGAGGGGGAGTGGGAAAGTTCGTGCGTCACGAGTCCGAGTTTGGTTGTGTGGTTGTGTCACTCGGGAGGCACGTGCCGAAGGATGCCCGTCAGGAGATGCCAGATGGGCAGGAATGCAGGGTAGCGTGGTCTTTTGTTGCTGTTATGGGTGACCAAAGTGTAGTAGTGCTGCGCGGATAGTAGTATCTCTTGAAAAGACTTGAGAGACGAGAAAGAAGGAAAGGAAGATAAAGAGAAGAGAGATACAGAGCAGTAGATGGAAACAAGAGAACCCGTTACCCGAGGAGGGCTCGGAAGAGGAAATTGCCACGATGAGAAGAAGGTAGAAATTTTGATTGTAATAATAAAAAAGGCGGGTATCCGTTCGGATTACGGGTACTCAAACGAAGATGCTCTCTTCCTCCCTCTCTCTCTTTATTTCTCCCCTTGTCGGTTCCCCGGGAACTGGGAGCGAACCTAGTCCAAGTGTCCCACCCCACGGCGGAACGCGAATTAGCAACCTGGGAGCGGCAGACGGCTAAGGCTAGCAGCTAAGCAGAGTAGCAGAGAAGTGGGAGACGATGGGAAGAGGTGTCAACATGAGGCGTACATACAGGCTCGCAAACACACCGTCCTTGACAGAAAGAATAGGAGGTCGCGGTAAGACGGTCCAGATGTTGGGTGATTCCCTGGAGTCCTCCTGCGTAAGGAAAAAGAAAGAAAGGTAGGTAAAAGTCCACTCCCCCAGTTGTAACGCTCTGTTTCCGCGCCGAAGGAAGGCAACCGACGGGGGGAGGACATCGATTGGGCGAGAAGAATCGAAGCCGAATCAGCGTTCCATGGATCAAAGGTCGAACCGGCGATGCAAAGTCGCCATTGTGACAGGGGGTGGCAGCAGAGCAGGGGGATGAACGACATCTGGATCGAACATTGGAACGTTTGCCCATGTTCTGCAATCTCGGGCAGTGCAGCCAGTGCACGGCTCCTTGGTCCGCCGAATCCTCGGGAGGCCAATGAATTCTAACGGATACGTACCTACCTTACAGGCTATACTGAGGTAGTCTTTCTGGAAGGCGGGGGGGGGGGTCCCCTTGCCCCTGCCCCTTCCGCCTGCGAAAGTACACTGCTGTGTAAATGGAAAGAGAGACCTGGGAAGGGCCCACTGTTTTCTTTTGCCTTAGCCTCCCGCCCTGCCGCCGCGTCCCGAGGAACTGGAAGCACCGCTGCACTGCGTGCCTGCCTGCCCGCTGTTGAGGCTGCTGCCACCGTTCCACCGTACCACCTTCCCAGGCAATGGAAGGCAAGGCCAGGAACCCAGCAGGTTCTTGCCTTCGATTCAAGGTTTCTGTCAGGTTCGAACCGCGCTTCGAAACGGAAAGGGGGCCACGCAAGTTTTGAACGGTTACACCGTCGGCAGTCCCGTCTACCACGGTTCATGAAGGAAGACGGATGCATACCTACCGTATTCTTGTCACCGTCCGCGTTTGTGCTAGAATTTCTCGCTGAGTGAAGCTCTAACACGACAGAGAATCAAGCTTCGAGCCAGCGAGTCTACCTTTCCCCCATGACGGCTGACGGCCGCTGTCGCTAAAAACCTAGGCGACTAGGTAAAACCTTACCTCTCTTGCAGAACTTAGTTGTAGCATAAGAGGCGCGCTTATTGGAAATATCGGGTCCCATTCTCGGATCGTCCCATTTGTCCGGCCTGCGCCCGACGATATCTGGTTTCTAGAGTTTGAGAGTCTGCCGATCACCTGGACGCGCTATCAAATCAGCCGCCCGTACCTTACAGATAAGGTAGATGCCCGATGTGCATGCGTATCTGTACGGAAACACATACATACATACATACCTACCTCTCCATGCGTTGCCCAACTCTCTCTCCACCGGCTAACGCAAGTTCGTTGAATAAAAGTCTGTACGGAGTAAGATACCGAGTAGCACCAGGAAACCGTTCCTCGCCACGCTTGCTACTGCAGGCCAGCTGCAGCAACTTAGTAGCGTAGCCCCCCGTGCCCCCCTCTTGGCCGTTGGGCTTGTCAGAGTCAGGCACGTCGCATTCCTCTCTAGCGTTGTTCTGGGTGGCGCTACCTACGGGATAATAGATCGTAATGGCCCGCCGCCCGCCCGCCTCAGCTGACGACTAACGCGCACCCTCCCCGCTCCCGTCTCTCCCGCTGTGCGTATGCGGGATTGTGTTGGTTCGGGGGTTTGCCGACCTTTCGTGTTCAGCTGTTGGAGGAGGGTGTGAGAGAGTCATGTCGTCGCGTTGCATCCGGGTTATTGGCCCGTACGAGGGGAAGGGAAAGGGAAGGCGAGGTGCTAAGTTTAGCTGCGAGCATTCATCCCTACAACTTAGACGTTGTTGGTTCCTTCATCTTGTCGACGTATTGAGTATCGCTCTTGTTCAGCTGAGTAGCTGACTGGCTTACGTTGAGTATATCCTCCATCGAGTCATAAACCTGGAATGCATCCAAGACCTTCTGGAAGAAGTCTCGTTCGGGTAGAATTTCCTCCGCGACTGATGGGAGAGAACCTGTCACTTCTCAAGCCGGCGTTGCCAAGACCCGGCTATTGAGGTAAGTGTAGTACACCACTACCTACAACACACCTGCTTGGGACCGCCGTCATCTCAGCTTTCCGGCAGAGTTTCTCTTGCGCCGCCAGAGTGTATCCGATAGACCACCCACTCCATTTCTGACAGGTAACGCGCGTCAAAAGGACAAAGGGTCGACGGCTACAATTACTATGACTATGACTGTGTGAATATGACATGGATACGGATTCTCGGATAACCCAGACTCAATACCTGTCCACAGCGTCTGACCAGCAAACCCGAAGATTTCTCTCTTCTGAACCGGACAGGTAGATAGATAGACATCATTCGATAGAACGGAAATCTGAACAGCGGTCCCCCCCTTTTTCCCCCTTCTCTCCGTGGTTCGAAGCCACCTGCCAAGCCATAGACCAGACTTCAGATGATTCACCATCCTGCGCTAGACAAAAAGAAGTAACATAAACGCCGATAAACGGCAAAACCCCGGGTTCAACACATGGATCGAGGTACATGTAGGTAGCTTGTCAAAAGATTGCGATAAAGTGTGAGTTGAATTTCCTTGCCAAGATTTCTGGCGCGTTTCGATACGGGGAATATAGAGTCTCTCCGATATATCGACGAGATACTCCGCGGATGACCCGAGTATGGTTTCTGAGAAGGTTTCCGAGGAAGCCTTGGAGCTTTCTCCCTGTATCTCCCCTCTTCCTATAGTTGTAATTACAAGGTTTTATATCCTTACAAGCTGTGAAAGCCACCCGATACCTAATAGTACAGTTCATCGCGCCCCTCTCATTCGTGCGTTGGTAGCCGATTTAAGAGACGACGACGACGACAACGACGCCCGGCCAAAAGTTATGAAACATGCCACCATAGCCGCCCATTTGAAGCCCATTTCGTCGTTCTACCCACCCCAAAGAGCCTCTTCAAACAGCAGAGTACGCGGCCGTCACGAACCGCCCACACTCCACCCTCTGCTCCAGACTAACCTTCCTGCCCTTGCCGTCCTTACCCAGCCGGACCGTCTGCCGCGGCGTGAGCTGGAACCGGTGCACCTCGCCCCCGCGACCGTTGACGGCGTCCCCTGCCCCACCGTCCAGGGCGCCAATGTACGCCGGCGCATTGAGGTTGCTGCGCTTACCCGTGCCGAGCTGGTAGTGCTCGTTGCCGCCCCAGAAGAGCACGTCGGCGCCCCAGTTGGTGTCATTGTCCGAGGACCGCGTTGTCGCGCCCGTCCGCGTGACGTTGTCCATGGTCGCCGAGACGTGCGTCGCGCCGACAGAGACGTTGGCGAGGCGAATGGGGGCCATGCGGTTGGCCTTTTCGTCGAACTCGAAGAGTGAGGAGAGGGCCTTCACTTTTGCTGGCCCCGGGGTAACGTGCGTCCACTTGCCGGTACCTAGGGATCCGTAGACGCCCTGACCGCAGGCCCAGAAGTCGGCCGTGACGCGCGGCATGCGGCGGGCGGGGGCGATGTCGCCGGTGACGGACGCTGCTGGTGCGAAGGGGTTCTCGTTGACGACTTCGGTGGCGTCTACGGTGAAGAAGGTGTTGTTGCCGCCGGCAGAGATGGAAGTGATCGTAGGGACGAGGCCCGTGTTGGCGTAGAGTTTGGCGGTTGGGAGGAGGGAAGGGACGTCGACTCTCTGGTAGCCCTGGTCCGCCGGCAGGCCGAGCTGGCCGTACGTGTTGTCACCAAATGTGAAGAGTTTGCCGTCCTTGTCAAGGGCGGCGGAATGGAAGTCGCCGGCGGCGATCTTGGCGATGGAGAAGCCCGAGAGGCCGGTGATCTCCTGGGGTTGGTCAAAGGGGCCGGCCGGGCGGGACGTCCAGCTCAGGCCGGGGATGCCCATCTGGCCCTTGGAGGGGTACTCTGCCGTGCTCGAGGCCGCGGAGAAGACGCGGCCCTTTGAGGTGAGGAGGAGGCTGTGCTGGAGACCGCTGCTGATGTCTGTTACTTTCTCACCCCAGGCGAGGTTCTTGGGGGTCAGGTCTCTAGCCTTGACGGACTGAGATTCGGGTGAGCTCCAAAAGGGGATCCAGGATGATGATGACTGCTGAGGCTGCTGTAACTGCTTTCCTGCTGCGAGGCCGGTCTTTGATGCTGGGACCGAGTACACTGATCCGCTGGAGGTGAGTGCGATGATGCGGTCGTTGGAGATGGAAATCTTGGAAATGTCTTTGCCCTTGAGCGTCTCGACGGGCGAAGGATCAGTATTCGAGAAGCCCAGGCCCCATTGGACGAGATCGCCCTTCTCCGTGACAGCAGCGCCAAAATCTTGACACAGTTTGATGTCCCTCAGCAGCTGGCCGTCGAAATACTTGATCCGTCTCGGGAGCTTGACGAGAGTCTCCTTTGATTGTGGGTCAATCACTTTGCCAACGTTGCTTCCCCAGGCATACACGCCCGGGTTCTCCCAGCTCTGCTTGACCTGGAGATGCTGCGAGCTAATGAGATCGCGGTTCTCCTCCTTTGACTGGGCCGCCTTCCTCGCCTCCTCAAACTTGATCTCGGCCTTTTGGTACTTTGGCTTCCGCACGTCGGGTGATTCCTTTTCAACCTCGGAGCCAAAGTATTGCTTCAGGGGTCCGTTGAAGTAGTCGTCGGCATAGTAAAGGACACCAGCAGTTCCTGCGGTCAGAAGCAATGCCTTTCCCTTGCCCATGCCCGACCTATCACCAGCCCGGCGAGGCCCGGAGCTGGCGTAACGACGAGCTACAGCAGCGCATCTCTGGGCTGTAAGAGAAGTGCCTGCGTTGCGTGCAGCTGCCCTATAAGCCTTCATTTTCGGGCTCACGAGAGTTGATTGGACGGAATGGTGTCAGTGCAATTATTTCTGTGATGATGAGAGCATTAAGTAAAGGATTCCAGTGAGATGAGAAAAATAGGCCCTTCCTGGGTGAGGAAGTGAAGTGAGGTGAGGTGAGGTGTAGTCGCTTACAGGTCGTGAGGTCATCAACAAAAACTAAAACTTCGATTCGCCCAGCACTTAGCTTAATCTGCTCAGTAGACTTTCCCGGACCCTTGCCAGTGCAGGGACCGTGCGCCCCGCTGCGGGTGAGCATACTGGCCCCACTTTGTACCTCTGAGCCCCAACCGCTCGCAATTGGGGCCAATGATTTTCCGCCCAGTTTACGCCCAAGGGAGCTGAGCTGTCCCGTTTGGAGCGGTGGTGGGAGCCACCGACCCGGCGCCATATCGGGGCCCTCTTCACGCCAGAGCTTCCCTTCACTCTCAACCCCAGTCCCGGAAGCCCCTCCACGACTTTGAGGCGAAGCTACGATGTACGACGATTCTTGGTACAGCTTCGTGCCAGAGGTGGCCAAGAAAGCTAGCACGGCTGCCCAAGGCCCAGGCCATCGTCGCAAAGAGTCGCTGTTGCAACAGTCCAATGTTAGCTCCCAAACCCCACTACCGTCACCATAACCATCACCACCGCAACGGCGTGCTGACAGTTGATGTTACCAAAAGGGTATACCCCAGGCTTCTAGTGCGCCAGAGGCTCTCGACGAAATCTTCGAAGAGATTGAAGACCGAAACACACCCCCGGAAGCCGAGGTCTTGCGCCGCGCAAAGTCCTATTCGGACTTCTACCACGTCGTTCGAGCCCAATTAGCTAAGGACGAGCAACACAAGAGGCGCAGGCGGAAGAAGGAAAAAACATGGGATGCGCTAGATATTGCGACAGACGTTGCCGAATCCAAGACCGGACCTCGCCCGGTTCATCGCCAATACGAGGGGGAACTGCTTGAGGCTAGTCAGCAAGAATACCTGTGAGTAGGGACCAGCTACGCACGAAACTTGCCCTTGTTAATCACTAGAGTAGACTGTACAAGGACCAACTGACGCTCACTGAACGGCATCTCGACATGCTCATCGACGATACCAACCAAGCGCTCAAGCTATTGACAACATTGTCTGAATCGTTCCAATCCGTCGAAGCACAGACGAGTTCGTTCCAGTCGCAGTGCGAGGACCTATTGTCGGAACAGCACAGGCTCGAGAAACTTGCAGACGAGGTCGGCACTGATCTTCACTTCTACGCATACCTCGATAATGTCTCTAGGAGACTCAATGCTCCTGGCGCTGGACGTCTGGTTGATGATGAATCTTTCGGCGAGATCTTGAGGAACCTAGATTCTTGTATCGGCTTCATGTCGAAACACGTGAGTACTTCTGCGATAAAGGGTATCCACGAATCGAGGTTGATTGACAAATCTAGACGACGTACCGTGACGCCGAGTCCTATCTGGCTCGATACGAGGCTTTGCTGACCAAGGCACTCCATCTTCTCGAGGTCGGTTTCACCAATAGACTGGAGAGCATCTCCTCCGAGATCGCAAGCCAGATTGTTGGCACCAAGTCCGAGGCCACCCGTCATGCTTTGGCATACGGGCGTTTTGAGGAGATGATTCTTGATTCTTACTCTCTAATCCCTAATATCCACAAAGTGATCAACAGCGTATACGACGAATACGGGCTTCCGATCACTGGCGTTGCCAAGGACATATACTCGAATACCACGAGCAATCTCTTCAGCTCTTACCTGGCTGTTCGAGACCGCGACTTGAAGCCCATAGTGCAGCACGACCAGGACGAGTTCAAAAAGGAGATCAAAGATCTTTCCGTCGAGACAGCTTCGAGGAATTACATCAAGCAGAGCTTCGAACGCGCATTCAATGAAGCCAATCTATTCTCCAAAATCTTCGGTCTGGATCTACAGTGGAGCTCCGACCCGGAGTCGGCATATGGGGTTCTCAAGTCTAACCAGAGGTCGCTCGTCAACCCCGCGAATCTCGTTCAGTTGGCCGCCAATCTCAATGCTGCACTGCAGACTGCGGATCTCGACACGATCTGTAGTGTGGTCGGCTGGCTGACCAATGAGTATCTGGTTCTCGACTACGACGAGGAAGAATCTCCCTTCGCGCGTCAATGCCGTGAACTCAGTGCCAGACTCTTGACCGAACATTTATGGGTCTTTACAGACAACGCATTTGAGGCGGAGATCACAAAGACGATCGCCAAGGCCACGGTTAAAGATGAGTCTCTTACTATCGGCCCAGTGGTCGGCGGCGTTTCTTCTTCAAATGCCTTCCCCCCAGTTAAGCAAGCGCTCAAGCTTTTGGCCAAGTATGACCAAGCCATGCCCAAGGAACGAAGTGTAAGTTTACAGCCCCCGGATATCGACTATTTGGAGTGAAATTAATCATCCCACAGCAAAAGAACAGCCAGGTCATCTTCAAGATCGTCCGGGAAACTATTCAGATACTACAACGCGCCGAGGCGCGGATCAAATCCATCAAGGCAGGCACGGACGCCGATCTGTTCATGGTGAAGAACCTCCTCATCATCAAAAACGAGCTCGTCTCTCTAGAAATCGGAGACATCCGAGGCGACACGGCCGCCATGCAACATTTCGGTCACATCTGGGACAACCTCAGCCCCCAGAACTGGGTGGGTTTCGTCAGCAACATCATTGGCGGCTCCCTTTGGTCCCGAGGAGCGACGGCAGGCGCGGCGACTGTCACCGCCAAGACGTTGACGGTCGAGGACATGAGCGAGCAGCTGGACGAGCTGCTGAGGCAGTCTATTGTCGCCTTCACGCAGCGCTGGGGCGGACTGACGAACGATGCAAGGGCTAGGAAACCTGGTGTCAAGCCCATTGGCAAGGTCGAAAAGGAGCTGGATGAGATGCTGTTGAGGGCTTTTAGCAATCAGCCCGAGGTGATTGCGAAGCTGAAGGAGGCGATTGAGATTAATGCGCAGGCGCAGGAGAAGGCGCAAGAGGAAAAGAAGGGAATTAGAAGGTACTGACGGGTTTATCGATGACCGTACTTAACAGAGGTACGTATGGTCGAGAGTGAAATGAGACACCTGGTGAAATGCCATATTCACATGTTGCTTGGTCTCAGGATTCCCACATTTGACAACATTTCATCTCATGAGTATCTTTGTAGAGAGCATTGAACTTCAGATGGCCGGCTATCATTTTTCTCGGTTCTAAGTGCCCAACCTCAATGACCCCAGCTAGCTTTCAATGCTGCACCTCACGTCCGGAACAGCGGAACATTGAGTGTTAAAGCCATAAGCAAGCACCGATGTTGGGGTGCGGCACGCGGTCAGCGCCAACCTGGGCGCAGTCAGCAGTTGCCTTGTTCTGCATGCCGCCTGATGAACCGGCTGCAGTCTGCAGATGATGTGTGTTCTTGCCGCGCCACTTGAAATGTCACCCTCCTCGATCCAACACGGCAGTTCACTCGAGGATCACTCTTGACTTTTCTCGTTCCTTGACCGATTCTACTCACCAAATTCCTCCTTCATTCACAATTCCGGGAGGAGGGATCCGCGAACATGCAAACGCCGCCTCTATGACGATAAGACACTTGTGGTACAAACCATGTCTTCTCATGAGTACCTTGACTTGTGCCACGAGGTTCACAATTTATTCTTGGGGCACCTGAAGCGGAAAAACAGCGAGAGTCTACGTTTCGCCACCCGCGAGACACCGAAAAGTGTCTTGAGCCCCCACTATCTCCAACTCTTTTTCCGCAGCCTGATCGGCGGAGAGACACCCAATGAACGCCGATTTTCCATTACAGAGAACCAATTTGTTGAAAATGTACAGGGTAGGGAGTTACACAAATTCCTCGCGATACTCGTCTTCGCCGGATGCCGTATAGAGGCAGCCAGGAACTTCACAGACAAGCTAGCTGCTGTTCCCGAGTGGCCGCCGCCCGAGGACTGTGAGATATCTAGGCGCGTCTGTTCGTTACCAGCCGACCGTCAAAGCTTGACGGAGTTCTTTGACGGGGACGAGGCGACAGCCGATAAGTTCTATGGATCGCAGGCCCTATTCTGTACGGTGGTGCTTCGGCAACGAGAGGAGACTACGATACAAGACGGTGATACCCAGCGTCTACCGTACGTGGAAGAGGAGCTTCTGGGCTCGGGCTCATTTGGAAGAGTGTACAAGGTGAAGATTGCCAAGGGGCATTTCGAAGACCGCCGCAGAAATGACAACAGGGAACGATGGGTGGCTCGGAAAGACTACATTGTCAGGTCGTCTTCGGATTCCGATGTTGAAAGCAGGGAGGAAGGCGAGATCATGAAGATGATTCTCAGCTTGTCAAAGACGTGCGAGAACATTATGGAGAATCTGGGGACGTTGAACATCGAGTACCCAACGGGCGCCAGCCCGGCGCCGTACAGCCTCTTCATGCCGCTCGCGGTCTGCGACCTGGGAGCGTACATGAAAAAAGACGGTTCGAACGCTCCAAAGACAGCGATCAACAGGGCAGGCTTCATCCGGTCCGCAATCGGTCTCGCCAACGGTCTCAAGTTTCTTCACGAAGAAATGCAGACGCCCGGCCTCGACAGGATCGTCTGTTACCACATGGATCTGAAACCGAGCAACGTCCTCATTTTTCGAGAAAGCGGCAATGGCGATGAGACCGGGCCCCGCTATATCTGGAAGTTGAGTGACTTTGGCATGTCAAGGGTCAAAATTCGACATCACACCAGCCGTGAGGAAGAAAAAGATATCGCCAAATGGTTCACCAAACGACGCGATATGCAGCAGAGGACGATGTCAGGAACACAGAATCGACGCGGCCAGGGGACGTATCTACCACCCGAGTCGTTCCGTGAGGGTAAAGTCATGAATACGAGAAGCGATGTGTGGTCACTGGGCTGCATTCTGAGCGTCCTCTTCGTTTATCTCGAGGGCGGAAAGAGCGCCATCGACAATTACGAGACCAACCGTCTCAAAAACCGTAGAGGCATCGATGCAAGCTACGACGTCTTCTTCCACGTCAAATCATTCGGACGCACTTCTGTGCATTCGGCTGTAAAGAATGTTCACAAGCAACTAATTCACAAAGCTGCCGCGAGAAGCGTGAAAGAACATCATGCAGTCCGGAGCATGCTCAGTTTTCTCGGGTCCAAAGTATTGAAGATTAATCAGAACAAGAGATGCAGCGCAAAAGAGGTCGAAAATATGCTGCGACACACGCTCGACGCGTATGAGGAGATTGATCGGCTCGAATCTTCCTCAGAGTCTTTGAGACCGTACGTAGAGCTATGAGCATCATTGAAGTCACTCGAAACAGAGTGCTAACCGATTTCCAGGCCCAAATCCTCTATGGAGCAGATTGTGCAAAGATGGCGCATCCCGCGAGACAATTCTGATGTTTTCAAGGGTTGCAAGGTGTCACCGGATGGAAGTATGATCGCGTACTGGAGCGACAGCAAGATTTCACTCTTTGCCCCAAGTTCTGCCGAGAACGCAGATGGAGAATTCCTAAAGGTACTCGGGGATCACTCTTTGGAGTCTTTGGGATCGACGAGCCGTTTTTGGAAAGCTGTTTGCTTGACTAACAGATATCTGATTGCCACAACCACGGGTAACATCTTCAACGTAGGTTTCAATTTCAGAGTTCCTATTCATGCTGCTGACCTTCGATTTGGCAGTGTTACATATTCGATCTAGGGCAAGGGGCTACAGCCGACTCAAGCCCACAGAACCATTGGCACATTCGGCTTCCAACCGTTCCGGAAGTATACATCATGGCGATGTCAACTGATCAACAGAACTTGGTCTTCGTAGTGGAGAACCAGGAAGACGAGAGCCTATCGGGATCCATATTCCATGCGAGAATCAAGGATCTGATAGAGTGAGTCTCTTACGCTTATCTACTTGCGTCTGACTTGCCAGTATTCGTAATCAGGTGGCTGACCGCGAGATCAGGATGGGATCTATCTCAGAGGGATATGAGATAGAACAGAGTGGCAGAAACTTTTTGGGCCGCTTCGTCGCACTCGACTGGCCTGCCGAAGACGTGATGTCTTTATCACTCACCAGCCAGAACCGCTGCTACGCGGCGATTCGCCCGTACCTTAGAAACGACGACATATATCACATGCCTGTTGTTTCATATTCTCTGACAACACGAGATATAGAGGAAGTATTCATCGAGCCGCGGGTGAGTCCCCCAGTTGTTTGTATCTATATCACCAGGGAAGTCATATTACTGACCCAATTCCGTCTCGCAAGAGCCAAGAGAGCAACGGCTCAAGTCTATTCACGACATTTGCTGGTCTACACCAACAGGCAACTTGTATTATCGTGTCCCGAGAAACCCGTCTTTTCACCGTTGATCTGCTAGCGAACTCATCTAACTCACCGACGAGGCGATCCCGATACCCCAACAACATTGAAGGTTACCGCCTCCTCAGAGTCATGGTCAACCAGAACAACGATGCCATTTTCGCACTGGGAATCAAACGAGATGGTGGTCGGATTCGTCTGCTTGAGATCATAATACCCGAGATGGGACGCCCGGTGACTGTTCGCGAATTGGCTCAGCTACCCAGTCTATCTGAAGACGACGAGTTCACCAGCAACATCGTTGGCGATGATGGCAGCAGACATATCCTCGTCACTGCCCTTGTGGGACCCAGTCGGCACGCCGTCTTCGAGATTAACCTCCCTGGCAGCCACGCTACATCCGCAGGCCCGGGGTCTTCCACCTGATTAAACCTCCAGGCTATTTAACTCGACGTCCTTGTTGTAGTGCTGCCTACGATACAACAACCTGCGCCATTCCAGGTCTCTCATCTCCAATATCTTAGCGTTGAGGTAGCTTCCTTCACGCATCGCGTAGTACGTCGCAAAGGTTAGCGTCGTGAGTGCTACAGAGCAGAGCGCATATATCCAAATCATCGGACTGCCGACAATCTTGCCAGTCACAGTGTCCATGTTAAAAAAGTTCATTCCAAAGAATGTCTGTCACGTAAAGGGTTTAGCAAGCTACAATAAGCGTCCGGGCAACGGAGAGAAGGAGGGGTGGGTGATCAGGCAGGCAAGCAAACACTCACAGCTATAAACGAAGGCGGCAAGTAAAGCAGCGTCAGTGTAGTAATAAACACCACCGACTTATTCAATCTCAACATGTTCTCATTCTGTTTCCTGGAATCGAGCTGTTCCCGGAATGAGAGCGTGTTAGCCAGCAGCTGCGACGTCGTTTGCGCGCGGTGGTGCAGGTCCGTCGCCGTCCGCGAGAAGGCTCTGCACTGGCGGCGGAAGTTTTCAAACTCTGATCCTGATCCTCGTAGTACTTCGTTGTCTGCATTCTTCATGGATGATTCCTTTGGCAGCACCAGACGGTGGGTGCAGAGGGCAGATAGCTCCGATAGCGTCTCCTCGGACGATTCTAAGATTGATGAGATTGTCTGGAACCGGTTCGCGAGGCTGGCTAGTTTTGTGAGATGGCTTGGTTTCATTGTGGTAGGTTCGTCGATGAAGTTGATTAGTGTTTTGTATGACTGTTTTGTAGCATCAAGTGTTAGGCTCGTAGAGCTGACTTGAAGGCGCGTTTCATGGAATCGAATCTCTCACCAACGGTAGAAACTGCCGCTCCATTGAAGCAATGTAGAACCTCCACGCGGGCAAGTATGTCTCGAAGACGAATTTATGCAGCCAGACATGATCGTGCGTCTCGGTCTCGGAGCCTGCTGCGCTATTCCTGCTCGAGAGCCATTCGATGGCTCGGTTGCTGGCTTGTGAGTCCGGCGTCGGGTTGATCATGATGAAGAGACTCTGACGAGACGCCGCGTCGCAGCGGTGGTATACACCCGTCTGACGAATCACCCACGTATCCTCTTCGGATTTGTACTCGGGGTATCGAATTGTGTACGATGCTTCTGTCAGATTATCAGTCCCACGTCATGCTTCCAGTAAGATGGATCTTGGGAACTCGAAAGCATGTACACACCGACCACGGATCCCTTTCGCCGCTCGGTATACGGCATACAAAACACCTCTTCCACGTTCATGTTCCGCGTATAGAAGCACGAGACGATATCCCGTAACGAGCTGTTCAAGCTGAGCTTCTCCATGATGAGCTCGAACATGGGGAGGGTGATCTGTAGAGGCCTCCATGAGTTGCGCTGGCAGATTGAGCTTTTGCTTAACGTTAGCAAGGCTAGGAAGTTCAGAGGGCTCCCGCAACGATAACGATGACGGCCTAGGATGAAACGTACATGAAATGATGGATATGCTCCTCGCTGCGGCTGTGTATGTCTTCTAGGCATATGCTCAGCTCGTCGAAGTTGGCGATGGCACGCTGCTGCTGCTTGACTTTGGCGACCCTCTCCTTCTCACCATCACTACTGCCCTCCGCTGGCAGGCGCGTTACGCTGCAGATGCGGATGGGCTCGATGACATCTTCGACGAAGCACTCTTGTTGCGTCGGCGCCATGGACGTTGCAGGACAACGCCGGTGTGACAGGTAAGGCTGAGGTAAGGATGTACATGTAAGAAGGAAAGGATGTTGGCGGTATGCTGCTTTCTGCTGCTTATTATGTACTTTGATCTGCTTCCACTGTAAGGCTATGAGAACTGTCTACCCCAAGGGCGATCAGCCGCCTGCCTGCCTGTTCCTCCTGAGTTCTAGCCAATGCTGACGCTTGCTGGCATGTCACTATACTTGCACTGCCCATCCATCCCCTGGACCACCATCCCCTCACTCCCCCCCATCGGTCAAAGTCATTGATCTCGAACCGCACTATCAACTCTCGTCAGCATGTTTTCTTTTTTTTCCATTTTCGAAACTATCTGGCAGATTCCTACTCTATCGTGTCCTGTAATTCTCGTCAGCATCGAACTCCCCAAACAAGACTTTCCCCGTTGAGGGGGGCTTCGAGCAAGAAAAGACATACGGCATCAACTTCCTTCGGCGCCTTGAAATGCCAAACATCATCCCTCATCTGTGGTAGAGCAAAGTCTCAGTAAATCTCATTCTCGATCGAATGCACCCTGCGGCAAGGCAAGGCAAGGCATACCTCAATCTCAAAATCAGTGTGCCCCGGGAAGATCTTCTCAAGGAGCTGCTGGAGGCTGGCCTTCTTCAAGTACCGACTGGTGACGTTTTGAGCGACTTGCTGTTGTCGTTGCGTCATGATTGCGAATGGGACTTTTTCTGGCTTGCTACAAGGTAAGTCTAGTTCATCGCTTATCAAGATAAAACTATCACAGAGGCCTTGTGGGGGAAGACGAAGTTAGAAATATAGCGTTGCGGGTGCAGCAAGACGCGCCGTTCTGGGGGATCCGGGGAAGGGAAGAGTCATCAGACAGCGTGGCATTGTTGCCATATTCCTTCCAAACCCACAGCCACCCTCAAGGAAACAATACACCGAAGAGTTTCAGACACTTCGCTGCCTATCAAGTCCTGGGCCCTGGGTTCCGGGGTTCTCTAGGCCGCAGTTCGCGCTCCATCATACCATCACCGCGCAAACGTGAAAGGCTGTAGGCTGCGTCGGGTTACACCGCATGACGAAACCAAGCCCATCCCACCGACCTGGATCGACGCTCAGCAGATCAAATCCATCATCCTACAGAACCTGCATATTTCGCCACTAGAGAAACACCACAAGCTGAGCCCCAGAAAGTTCCTGTTCCCCAAGTCCTAGGAAGTCTTCATGCTCTCCTTCGTAGGCCGGGGTCCAGAACCTCGAACGCATTGGTAGCCAAACCCGTATCATCCGGGGCAGGGCATCGACATGTGGTTCAAGAAAATGGCGAATGTGCAAGTAATAGAACATTGATGAAATGTATCAATTAGCCTCACTTCGTAGGACTACTCCCTTAGAAGCGTCCTAAGTAGACCTTAGTTGAATCACACACGGGCCGAAGACGAGAATGGTTCAGACTTGAGCCCACTCCAGCATTCGCAATGTCAACGAAGCGAGGCTAGGTAATCAAGTGAATTCGGGTATCATTTGAGTTGGTTTCCTAACTAAATCGCTGAAGAGAAAACGCCTCGAAGGTGCCTGCTACTGGCTGTGTTCGCTGTTTTTCAAAAACCTCAACTGACGAAGGATGAAACAATGGTTTCCAACATGATGAGGGATATATCGTGCCAATCTATCCCAATGAACCAAACGCCACGCGATGCACTTCCGACAGCAGTCCGGCTTGTTCTTCCAAACACAAGCCATTTCTGCTCAGCTCGCTCAAAGCACCTTCTCCTCAACTTGAACCGCTCTCCTCCCGGCCACTGCTGTAGCCGCTCTCCGCCCCACCCGCAGTGGCGGCTGAACTGCCCGCGGCAACTGGAAGTTCGGCACTATTGCTGCGACCTCTGGCAGTTCCGGCGGCCGCAACCGCACTGCTGCTACTGGTGCGACGGAGATCTCGAGGGGGAATGGGGATCTTGAAGTCGGCTCCGCTATCTTCATCTTCTACAACGCCTGCCATCTCATCTCCATTTTCCGGCTCGCTGTCGCCCTCGTCGCCGCTCGACATCTGTGCATCGTCAGGATACTGTCTGTCAAAAGCAGGGGCGTGAGCTTTTACAACGCCCCCTACCTTTGAATCATCGTCCAAGTTGGACTCGTCATCATCGTCGTCGGAGCTGCCAGAGCTGTCGCTGTCGAAGTCGAAGTAGAGACCCGGCGGCGGCAGAGGCGTAGGGTTAAGCTTCCGAACAGATCTAGACGTGTATTCGATGTTGATAGGTGATTTCTTGCGACACTCGGACTTTGCTGATTGTGCCAGGGACCCGGAAGACCCCAGCGGCGATGTGATTCTGCTCATTAACTTGGAAAACTCCTCAGACTCTAAGCTGATCGTCGTTTCCTGCTTCACGTCCACCTTCGGCCTCTTCGTGGTGGCGACCACAACAAAGTGGTCATCGGGAATAACACCACCCAGTCCGCAAGCGTCCAGCTTGCTGCTCACAGCGTCTTGAGGGACGTTAGACCAGGGGAAATCGGCCTCGATGCCACCATCACTCTCATCTGAACCATTTTCTGTTGTGACAGCCACACTTGGGGCTTTACGGCCTTCAACAAGCGGCCGGTACGGAAGCGCCGAACCTGATTCAGTGCGACGAGGTAGATCAGGTCTGAGGAATCCAGCACTAGAGGAAAGTTGTTGGTCCTGGCCAGATGAGGTCATGTATGACGCGGGGGACGCATCGCCAGGATCGCCAGAGAGGTCGGTACAGAATGGAGCACCGCTGTAGTAAATGATGGCACCATCCAGACGACGTCTCTTGCGGCGCGAGGATCCCGATCCATCCCATCGCGACTCTCCGTTGTTGCTATCTTCAACAACTCCATATGACGAGCCAACATCATCCAGTGAAGTCTGTTCGGCAGACGACGATTGGTGCACGAACATTGGCTTGTAGTGGAAAGTATCCGCCGATGGAATTGGATACTCCGATTTCGACTGGTCGGACGAATTTTTACCATATGAAGTGGAATAAGGACCACTCTTCCCCGAGCGTTGTTTGCGCTTCTTGCTCTGGTTGTCTAGTTGTGCCTCGTCGGACTCGTCGGAGCGGCTGAGCTGAGAGGTAGTACCTGAGCTGTCGCTACTGAACTTGGTTCCCTCGGTACCACCGCGCCATCTGATTTTCCGACCGTCATGTGAAAGTTGGAATTTCGTGCTCTTCTCAGACACTGCACTCCTGATGTAATCGGGGGCAACGTTGAGCATGTGCAATTGAGCCATATTGCAAAGCAGGT